GCTGTAGCGCGCGCTCGCGTGGCTGTCTGTCTGAGAAGGTATGGGCTTTCTGGATTTGCCTGGGGACCGATGCCGGAATTCTCCGTCGCTGTCGATTTCGGGAGCGGATTTCCCACGACGTCCGCGGGCAGCGGATGTGGGGGGCCCAGGCGTGTCCATGTGCAGCGCGACTCGAGAAATCGGATCCCAAAACGGTCTTGATGAGGGGCAGGTGGGAGAGGGAGGGCAAACGTGTCAAGAGTAGGGGTAAGAGTAAGAGTTGCTCCCAGCCCGTGAGTTCCACCGCCGTCACGCCGTCGTTGCCGCCGCCGCCGCCGCCGTCGCCGCTGCCGTCGCCGTCGCCGTCGGCTCGTCGTCGTCGTCGTTGTCGCCGTTGCCCTCGCTTTCGCCACCATCGTCGTCGCCATCGTCGTCGTCGTCGTCGTCGCTGTCGTCGTCGTCGTCGTCGTCGTCGTCGTCGTCGTCGTCGTTGTCATCGTCGCCTTCTCCACCATCGTCGTCGCCGTCGCCGTCGTCGTCGTCGTCGTCGTCGTCGTCGTCGTCGTCGTCGTCGTCGTCGTCGTCGTCGTCGTCGTCGTGGTCGCGATGGTCGTCGTCGTCGTCGGTGTCTGCGCGCGCGTGGGGCACCGGCGCCCGAGGCGTTGCAGTCGGGCTTCTCCAGGTGCAGGAACGCTTGCGCGGGGGGGAACAGATGCTCGTGTAGCCGAGTGTGTGCCAGCGGGGTCCCCCTGCGGGACTTTGCCCCCGGCTCCTGTCCAAGGCGTACCTTTTCCTGTGCAAACTCTTCGGCACCGTCTGTTCTCCGCACCCTCTGGCCGCCTGAGGCCCCGTCCGCCTGTGCTCTGTCTCCCCATTTAGTGCTTCGCGCGCCCCGCCTAGCTCTTAACCGGAAGAGGCCCGCTCTCGACACGCAGACCAAAAAAGTGTGCTTGTGGGGGGCCCGATGAGTAGGTTCTTGCAGTTTTGTTGCGCGCTCCCGAGCAGTGGAGAAGAGAAGTAAACCGCATGTGATCGAGTAGCAATGCTCGCCAGTGTGGATTCCGAAGTATTTTCTTGTACGCTCGGGTCCAGGAGGCGCGCACTCTGTGGTGCAAGCTATACACGTTTTGATCCGTGTGGTGTAATCTGTGTGTTGTAGAAACTTTGTGGTGTAACTAGTGCGGTGCAAGCACGTACTGCGAACTATTTGCGGGCAAGCTATGTGGTGCAAGCGAGGTGGTCAAAATTGTGCGGTGCAGACTACGCGGTGTTCTATATGAGGTGCAGGCGACTTTGGTTTGTCACGTGGTGCGGCAACGCAGCGCAAACGCCGCGAGGCGCCCCCCCACCGGGCGAAACGTCGGCAGACCCGGCCCGCGCACGGGGCGCCCCGTCGTCGCCGACCGGGCGACCACTCTCAGGAGGGGGAACAACACACAGACACAATTCAGCGTCGCACCCCCAGAAAATTTCAAAAATATGGGAAGTGGGGGGGAAGACACAGAAACCCAGAAGATGTGGGAAAATATTGGGGATCCTTTTCTTTGTGTGCATTTCTTTGTGTGCCCCAGGGCCCCTCCACGCTCGGCAGACCCGAGGGATGCCCACGGGGAGTGCACACGGCTGCCCGCCAGGGCGAAACCTCGGCCACGAGGCGCCCACGAGGCGCCCACGGCCGCCCGCCCTGCGAAATTCTGGCAGGAGAGAGAGAGAGCGGTTTTCATCGGAGGAAATTTCGCGGTTTTCCTCGGTTTGGGTTTTCATCGGTTTGGATTTTTTCTTCGGTTTGGGCTTTTCCTCGGTTTGGGTTTTTCCTCGGTTTGGGTTTTTCCTCGGTTAGGGGGGGGTCCTCCCGACGCACGGGGCCTCCGCCTCATGTTGGCAATCCGATCGGTTTATAGGCGTAGTGCAGCAGGCATGGCACTCGAGCGCCCCGAGGGGGGGGCAAGTCGTGGAAACGTCTCGAGTGGGAGCCCCGTGTGTGGATCGCGGGGAGTTCTCGAGCAGGAGCCCTCTCCCGGGGGAGACTCTCCGCCTCATGTTGGCAATCCGAGCGGGTCACCAGCGAAGTGTAGCAGGCATCGCTTCTGAGCTTCCCAAGGGGGCGAATCGTGGGGCGTCTCGAGCGGGAGCCTGGCCTTCGAGCGATTCGCGGGGAAGTCTGGCTCGGGAGCCCTCTTCCTGCTGGGGTCCCTGCCTCATGCTGGTAATCGAAGTGATCTGTGTATGTGGTGTCCAGGCCCTCCAGGGGAGTGAGGAGGGTAGGGGGCCACATGCGAACCCTACCCCTACCCCCCAACGATTTCTGAGGGAGAGGGTGGGGTTCACTTCGATCGGGAGCTCCGAGCGAAGTGAACCCCGCCCTCCCCCTCAGAAATCGTGGGAGGTAGGAGTAGGGTTCGCAGGTGGCCCCCTAGAAGGACCCGAGGACGCTCCGGCCCGCTCCTCGAGGCCACGTTGGCGGACTGCGGTTTGTGCCCCGCCTGCGAGGCTGCGAGGGGTGTCGAGCGGGCGGCGGCGAAGCCGGCCGTGCGGGGGTCGCGCGCCTCTGGGTGGGGCCAAATTTTTCGACGTTTTCCTCTCCCGCCCCTCCTCTTCGCTATCCTCTCGTTCTCCACGTCGTCTTCGTCATCGCCTCCTCGTCACCCTCGCCTTTCTTTCCCTCTTCGTCTTCTTTTTCTTCTTATTATTCTTCTTCTTTTTATTATTTATTCTTCTTCGTTTTCTTCTTCTTCTTCTTCTTCTTATTATTATTATTATCATTATTATTATTATTATTATTATTATTATTATTATTATTATTTTTATTATTATTATTATTATTATCATTATTAGCAGTAGTAGTATTATTCGTACTATTTTTATGATTATTATTAGTTTTACTATCAGTAGTATTATCACTGTTCTACCAATGCGCCCATTAGACTATAGCGGCGCTTCGCGTTCTTGTCCGATCAGGTTTTCGGCGTTTCCCCCCGCCCCCCCGCTTGGATCTGGCAGGCTTCTCGTCGCCACGGGTTCCCCCCCGCTTGTGGGTCTTTGGCTTCTCGTCGCCGCGGCGGGGTCCCCCCCGAGCTTCTGATCGGAGTGCACCCCTGGGGGAGTGGGGGTCCTTGGCATCGCTCATTTTTCCTTCGGCGAGGACCATCGAGGAGCATCCTTGATCATTTGGCGAAAAAAACCACGCACGAAACCGAAAAAAACACAGGGAATGGACGTCCGAGCGATGGCCAGGGTCGGGGCTGGAGTTTGAGATGTGTTCCTCCTGCTCGTCTCGCGTTGGGAAGGACGGGGGAAGGGGGTGGGGGGGCAGATGAGAGATATAGAGAAGGGATGGGGGCAGGGGCGACGAGCTGGGGCCTCGAGGGGTGGGGTAGGGGGGTGGGGGAAGGGAGGGGCGAAAACGGAAGGGGATGGAGGGGAAAACGACGACGACGATGACGACGACGATAATGACGGGGATGACGAGGGGAAAGAGGCGGGCGAAAAGTGGATGGGCATGGCGAGGGGGTGGCGAAGGGGGGGGCATGGGCGGCGTGGCGGGGGGGGGAGGGAGGGTGCGCAGGTGGGGCAGGGGAGGCAGTTTTTTGTTGGGGGGGGAGGGAGTCAGAGGGAGGGGCACGGAGCAGAGCGGGCAAGGTTTGGGGGAGGTACGGGGCGCGGCGGGGAGGGCGTGGCGGAGTACAGCACGCACCCTGTTCGTGCATCCGCTGGGAGCTTCGCAGACGCATGTGCGCGGCGCTGAGGGGGTCTAGTCTGAGCTTGCTCGTGCTAGACCTCGGTGTGAAACCTGCGAAACCTCCGGCGCTGAGGCGAGAATCGGGCGGTGGAAGCGGACCGCCCTCAAGCCGCGCAGACTCTTGTTGTATTTGAGCGAGTTGTGCGCTGCGCTGAGGCGCCAGAACCAGGGTCCCGAACACGGGCCAGCTTCCTTGCGTTCCGCGGGAGACCAGTGCGCATGCTCATAGATTTTGAAGAAGTTTCCAGCGATATGGTACGCGCTGGCAGGAGCTGGCGGCGAAGATAGTCTGCATGCGCTGGTTGGCCACAGGTCACAGAGTGATTGGAAAGCCATCGTGCACGGGTATCGCCACAAAGGCTTGTTTTTCCCAAGCTATTGTGCCGCCTGTTGCCCAGCGAGAAGTCCGGACCGCCTCGCCTCACCAACAAGTCGGGTGGTGCGACGATGCGGGGGGTATTGAGGGAGGAGGATGAGGAGCAAGATGATGATGATGAGGAGGAGGGGAAGGAAAATAGCAGCGGCAGCATGGAAGGAAGAGGATAGCGATGACGGTGATGATGATGATGATGATGATAATGATGATGATGATCATGATGATGATGATGATGATGATGATGATGATGATGATGATGATGATGATGATGATGATGATGATGATGATAATGGTGATGATGATGGTGATGAGGGTGATGATGATTCTGGTGATGATGATGGTGAAGATAATGATGAGGGATGCCGATGAATATGACGATGACGATGATGCTGATGTTGATGATGGTGATCATTACGATGATGACGATCATGATGACGACGATGATGATCGTGATGATCATAATGATGACGGTGATTCTGATGATGATGATGATGATGATGATGATGATGGTGGTGGTGGTGGTGGTTGTGGTGGTGGTGCTGGTGGTGGAGGTGATGGTGATGAAGATGATGATGCCAGCGGTGAGGATGATGAGGATGATGGGGATGACGATGACGGTCGATGATGATGATGATGATGCTGATGATAATGATGATGATGATGATGATGATGATGATGATGATGATGCTGATGATGCTGATGATGGTGATGCTGGTAATGATGACGATGATGATGATGATGAACGACGACGACGACGACGTCGACGACGACGATGATGATGATGATGATGATGATGATGATGATGATGATGATGATGATGATGATGATGATGATGATGATGAGATGATGATGATCATGATGATGATGGTGATGATGATGATGATGATGATGATGATGATGATGATGATGATGATGATGATGGTGGTGGTGGTGGTGGTGGTGGTGGTGGTGATGATAGTGATGGTGATGACTCGGAGGAGCGACAACAATACACCGCCACCAGCCCTGGGTTGGTCCATCCTGGGCCCTCGACTGGTGTACACACCTCCAGAACTAGGCCGCGAGGGCCTCTACCCCAGTGCAGGGCCCAGGACGGGCCTGACCAGGGCTGGTGGTGGTGTATTGTGTGGAGCTCTCCTGATGCTGGTGCTGGTGCTGATGATGATGATGATGATGATGATGATGATGATGATGATGATGATGATGATGATGATGATGATGATGATGATGATGACGACGACGACGACGATGATGATGATGATGATGATGATGATGTTGGTGCTAATGCTGCTGCCGATGATGGAGATAATGATGACGCCGATGATGATGATGCTGTTGATGATGATGATGATGCTGATGATGATGATGATGATGATGATGATGGTGGAGACGGTGGTGCTGGTGATGTCGATGGTAATGATGATGATGATGCTGATGACGACGACGATGACGATACTGCTGATGATGATGATGATGATGATGATGATGATGATGACGCTGATGATGATGATGATGACGATGATGCTGATGATGGCAGTGATCATGGTCATGGTGATTGTGGTGGTGATGATGATGCTATGATGATGGTGATGATGGTGATGATGATGGTGATGGGGATGATGATGATGATCATGTTACGATGGGGATGATGATGGTGATGATGATCATACTGATGATCATGATGATGATGCTGATGGCGACGACGATGATGATGCTGATGATGATGCTGCTTATGATTGTGATGATGACGACGGTGATGACGATGGTGATGATGATGCTGATGACGATGACGATGACGATGACGATGCTGATGATGATGATGCTGATGATGACGATGATGATGATGATGATGATGATGATGATGATGCTGATAACGACCATGATGCTGATGATGATGGTTCTGATGATGATTCTTATGACGACGATGGTGATATTGTGCTGCTGCTGTAGCTGATGATGATGATGATGATGATGATGATGATGATGATGATGATGATGAGTATCATTATGCTGTTGAGGTTGATTGTGTTGTTTGTTGGTGATGGTGCTGCTGCTGGATGATGATGACGATGACGATGCCGATGATGAGGATGATGCTGCTGATGATGATGATGATGATGATGATGATGGTGATGTTGATGCTGATGATGATGCTGATGCTGATGCTGATGATCATGATGCTGCTGTTGCTACTGCTGGTGCTGCTGGTGCTGATGATGGTAATCTTGATGACGATGATGATGATGATGCTGATGCTGATGCTGATGCTGATGATGATGATGATGGTGGTGGTGGTGGTGGTGGTGATGATGATGCTGCTTATGATGGTGCTGCTGATGAGGATGCTGCTGCTGCTGATGCTGATGCTGATGCTGATGCCGATGATGATGATGATGATGATGATGATGATGATGATGATGATGATGATGATGATGATGATGATGATGATGGATGGATGATGATGATGATGATGATGATGATGATGATGATGATGATGATGATGATGATGATGATGATGATGAATGATGATGATGACGGCTACGAGGACGAGGAGCAGGAGGAGACTAGCAGGAGGCGAGGGAGGAGGGCAAGTAGGGGAGGCGGAGGAGGAGGCGGAGGCGGAGGGAGGAGGAGAGGAGGGAGGGAGGAGGAGGAGGAGGAGGAGGAGGAGGAGGAGGAGGAGGAGGAGGAGGAGGAGGGAGGAGGAGGAGGGGGAGGAGGGAGGAGGGAGGAGGGAGGAGGGAGAGGGAAGGAGGAGGGAGGAGGAGAGGAGGAGGAGGGAGGAGGAGGGAGGAGGAGGAGGAGGAGGAGGAGGAGAGGAGGAGGAAGGAGAGGAGGAGGAGGAGGAGGAGGAGGAGGAGGAGGAGGAGGAGGAGGAGGAGGAGGAGAGGGAGGAGGAGGAGGCATTTCCCTCGGGGGCATATCAATATGCCCCTAGCGTTTTGACCGTGGGGTGGGGTCCTCAGTCGCGGCCGTGCTGCTTCTGCGGGAGCGAAGGCCCGCGACTAGCCATGGCGGACGGCAGCGGCAGCAGCAAGGAGGCCAGTGCTGCTCCAGAAAAGCGCATCGCCGATTGGGACGAGGCCGACCTACAGGCCTTCTTCGCCAAATTCGGCATCCTAGACGGCATCCAGGCTACAGCAGCTGCCAGTGGGCGATCTACTGCTTGCAGCGGGCCAGACGCCTCCACGCGCAACATCCTCATCAAAGTCTCCGCGGATAAGGACATCACCAACGGGTACGGCACCACGGGTATGGGCACCATCGTCGAAGAGAAGGATTACGGCATCAACCAAATCGACGGCCGCGCAGCCAGTCATGGCGCAAGCCGTGCTGGTGGTACCCGTGATCAACGGCAGCTCCGAGCCCGACGTCCACGAGAAGGACATCGGGACCGACGTGCAGACCGTCACGGCCAAGGGCTACCGTCGAGAGGAGGTCGAGACGGATACGAACATCACCACCGCCGGGAATGACGTCGACGCCAGCGGCGGCAGCGCGCCCCACGCAAGGGAAAAGGCCAGCGAGACCAACGTTACGTTCGGCAGCGATGACGGCAAGGAGGGGGTAAGCCTCGAGACATGCAGGTAAGTGCAGCGACGATCACAAGACACGTGCGTTCAGCAGCGAGGCCATCCGCATGGCGGGCAGCCCCCCGGACGGCCTCCACGGCAGCCCCCAGGGCGGTAAGGTGACCCCATCGCGGGTCGTGGGTGCCAGCAGCACCGGGGAGAGCCAGCGAGGCCTACGAGGACGACGGATCTAAGGAAGAGAAGAGCGACACTGAGGCCATCAGCGCGACCAGCGACGACGAGGCCTACGTCGATAGCGATACCCTCAGTGAGACCAGCAGCGAGGGCGACAACAGCGTGTTGAAGTTTTACAGCATGCTGACGGTCCAACATCCTGAGAATAATCTCAGCAACGACTATGATGGGCAGGAGAAGGTCGACAAGGCCGACGGCTCCGAGAGAATCGAGGGCTGCTGTGGCCCGATGTGCGACGCGAAGGGCATGCACCATTACGAGGGCATCGGCAGCCACGAGCACACACGCCGCGCCGATTTCTGGACAGACGGTTCTGAGAGCATGGAGGACCACGGGAAGTACAGCATCGCTGACAAGATCAATGGGGCCAACATCGAGGCCATCCGCACCGCGAAGCGCTTGGAGATGGATCAGGCAGGCAGAGCTCAAATGGAGAAGCTGCAGGTCGCCAGCGCGGCGGCTGCAGCAGCGCGGAAGCAGTTCAATGAGAGGGGGGAGATCAAAGAGATGAGGGAACTACTGGAGAAGCTGGCCAGCAGCGGCAACGTCACCAACCTATGCGTGAGTCAGCTGGTGGACAAGGACGTCGGCCCAGCGCGACGGGCAAAGTCACTTAGACCACGTCTGACGTCATGGACAAAACCATCGGGACCAGCGACGACATAGACAACTTGAGCAGCACCAGAAGACACTACAGCTATCGTGACGCCTGCGCGCGGGCGTAGAGATAACTGCGACCTTGGACCGCTGGGGGCCTTGCCTGCGGCCCGGGGTCCCTGGCCTGGCCCATGGTCCTGGGATTTGTTTTACTTGTTCATTCCTCTCTGAATTTTGAAATGTAGCTATGCGCAGCGTCTCCGCCCAGCCTCCGCCGGTGCCAGGAGACTCGAGTCGCCAGCCGAGCCAAGCCGAGGAAGAGGAGGAAGAGGAAGAGGAGGAGGTGGAGGAGGATGAGGAGGTGGAGGAGGTGGAGGAGGAGGTTGAGGTGGAGGTGGTGGTGGTGGAGGAGACGGAGGAGGAGGAGGATCAGGAGGACGATGATGATGATGATGATGATGATGATGATGATGATGATGATGATGATGATGATGATGGTGATGATGATGGTGATGATGCTGATGCTGCTGCTGCTCCTGCTGCTGCTGATGATAATGATGATGATGATGCTGCTGATGCTGATGATGCTGCTGATGATGATGATGTTGATGATGATGATACTGATGATGATGATGATGATGATGATGCTGATGATGATGATGATGAAGATGCTGATGATGATGACGATGACGATGATGATGCTGATGATGATGATGATGCTGCTGGTGATGACGATGACGATGACGATGACGATGACGATGATGATGATGATGATGATGATGATGATGATGATGATGGTGGTGATGATGCTGATGATGATGATGATGATGATGATGATGATGATGATGATGATGATGATGATGATGATGATGATGATGATGATGATGATGATGATGATGATGATGATGATGATGATGATGATGATGATGATGATGATGATGATGATGATGATGATGCTGATGCTGATGACGAGAAGAAGGAGGAGGAGGAAGGAGGAGAAGGAGGACGAGGATGAGGGAGAGGAGGGGAGGAGGAGGAGGAGGAGGAGGAGGAGGAGGAGGAGGAGGAGGAGGAGGAGGAGGTAGAGGTAGAGGTGGATGGCGACGACGACGACGACAAGGCACGGCTGTGCCACCGCAGGACGCTCCAGTCGTCTGGGTTGCCGCTGAAAGGCGCCTCGCCCAGCCCCCCACGCCAGGGGAGGGGGGGGGCAGTACCTGGCCTCCGCCTCCACCTGTCTCTGCGTCTGCGCCCCCCTCGCGCCCGCCTCCTCTTCGTCCTCCTCCTCCTCCCTTTCCTCCTCCTCCCTTTCCTCCTCCTCCCTTTCCTCCTCCTTCTCCTCCTCCTCCTCCTCCTTGCCTCCACCCCCGCCTCCTCAGCCTCCTCCGCCTCCGCCTCGTCCGTCTCCGCCGCTTCTGCCGATGCGAGCCGCCGTGCCAGCAAGGTTCGGCCGCTGGGTCGGGAGGAGCATCGGGTGGCACTGCTCTCCGTCCGCGCCAGCGGGGCCGAGATGCGCGAGGCCTTGGCCCCCCGCATGCCGCT